ATATTCAAAGTGCTTGAATTTTTCTCACCTATATTATTTAAGTGCATTTTCTATATGTTCTTACACTTTTTTTCTAATCTACTACGCTTGCATGAGTTTGCAACACACAAACTCAGCTCCATCCATTGATTTTCATTGGATATAGAAATTGTTTGCTTGGTTTGTTTTCCTTCCAGATTAAAACAAGACATATACATTTGTCTGTAGGCACTGGATTCTTAATCTAGGAATGCCTGATTCACTTTCCCAGCTGTTGTTACTTTTTCTGCAAATGTTGTTATTCACCCACTGCAGGAGGGACTGTAAAAATTTCCTAGCAGTCACCACTGATTTTCTGCTGTGCTATCCCCTACCCACCTCTCAGGTGTGGTTACATTTCCGATTACAAATTATTCTTGTATCTTCTATAGAGACTTCAGGGAAAGCCCCGTGATTACTTCATATCCAGTCACTCCCGGACTTCTCAGAAATCACACCAGCTCTTCTTTCATCCCATTGAGTCTTAAATAACCTCCCCAAACTATTAGTTTTTCTCAATGCCAATTACTTTCCCCATACTTAGAACTCTTAAATTAAAATCTGTATCGGCCTCTGCCTTTAGACTCAAAATTTTCACTGCAATTGGAGACATCCAGGTCCCACACAAGCAACTCAGAAAAATAACCCATTCATAATGTAGCAACAACACAACCCAGCTTCTCATATTCCCAGACCAAAGTAAATGTTTTTCCTCAGTCCTCACACTGTCAAGCACAGAGCTTCAAAATCAGCCCAATTCGCAATGAAGTTAATTCCTCCTCCCTCCGCACCGAGTGACCATATCTTCTCCCATCATTCACAGGCCTGTTTCCATAGGAAATCCATACATCATCATTCTCTCCCACTCCTTGGGCACTTCTGCCCTGCAAACCCTGTATCTGTTCCTTCCCGTGCCTCTGCTGTGTCGGCATCCTGACAAACACCTTTCTCTTCCAGTGCATCCACAGTTCTTTACCTTTGCCCTTCCTCTGACCTCTCCATCCTTCCCAGCACCGTTTGGGCCAGGTCTTTGTAAAGCTCTAAGCAAGAGATCTCTCTTAATCCTTTGGTGGTAAACACATTGTGTCATGGAGAGCTGTGGCTGGGCAGTGGCACTCAGAGCAGTTTCTCCTTCAGACATGATGATCCCTTTGCAATGACTGATACCTTGTAATTACACTGGCTGCTTGATCAGTCCCATCCCTTTGCCTTTCATATTCATCGGAGTTAAACAGCGTTTCTCCTCTCTTCCTCGCCAGTCTCAGTCTTGCAGCCCAAATTTCAAATATTTGCCTTATCTGCAGTAGCAGTGGAGGGCACAGATCAGTGTCCACTAAAGGTGATGTCCCTGACAGGTCAGGGTTTTGTTTCATTACAGTGCTGTGTTAACTTAAACGTGTTGCTGTAGTTCCTGTTACTACTGCGTATGTATACACTTTATATTTTAACACAAAGATGTGTTAACTGCATTTCAGAGTACGGTTTCTGGGTGATAAGAGAAATTCATCCCATAGAATTGGTTGCTGAAATGCATATAAATTAAAGATAGAAGCGATATGAATTAAGTGACTGTAATTCATAGTGAGCCATATTTTTACTGGCATCTGCAAAATTAACATATTTAACTTTATAAATTACAGATGTCTTCTTTTCTATGAAATCCTCTGAGTGGGAAACTCCAATATTTTAAATAGCTGAGCTAGGTATTGAAAAAAAAATAATCCTGGCTGTGTTTAAATGATATTTTAAAACCAGCACAGGATGTAAATAGACTATTTATAAACAGGATGCTTTGTGTATGTTTAAACTTTGTCAAGTTCTCCAAAGTGGGGGAAATGCCAGCATGACATTCCTGTTAGTCACTCACAGGTTTTAAAAACTGTTAGTGTTACCCAAAATATTTTTGATTCTTAAGATACATTTCTATGTAACATGACTGATTTCTAATGCAAGTGGTAAGAGCCCCTTGAGCCTCGGGCAACCTCTGGCTTCTGCCCACTCATGTTGCCTCTCAAGTCCAATCAGTTCTTAACCTGGCCCGTGCCCTGCAGCTGAGCCACTGGGAAGCCTGGGTAGTCTTTCGCTCACTCAGCTACTTAGTGACATTGCACTTTGGGATCAGTAGTTCTCCTGATAATCTAATGCCTTGCTTTCTCTTTTTACCACTTTGGCTACTACCTTTGTACTTCAGGAAAGCGCCAGAACATGTTATTGCTCATCATCATCATTCAAGACTTGGCTTCTGCCTCGGTACTTGTTCCGTGTTAGGCTCAGCATGTCTGTGGCCAACAATATTTGTTTGATTATGGCAACAAACCAAAGGGTTTTAACACACATCAAAACCTGTCCAAGTGACAAAAGATTGTAAAGGGCAAATGGCTTTGGTTTTTAATGCCATATGCATTTGAATCTGCCTCAATATGTGAATAAGGCAGCTGTGCTTGGAAATACCATCTTCAAGAAACATGAGATCTTCTCTGCTGAAGTGGGCATGAAGTTTAGAGCAACACCTCACAGCTTCTTTTCTTATCCTTAGCCAGAGAACTGTGCTTTCCCTATGTTTTGGTAAACAACATGGCAATATCTTCTAAAGGAAGTTTCCATGTAAATTTGCAGTGACAGATGTCCTTAAAAATAGAAATTCAGTCAGAACCCCATCTTCCAGATCTTAATCCTGTCTAATCCTTGGTTCACAGTCATTCCAAATAATTTTTTTTAACGTAAGTGGATGGTAAACAAAGTGAAGTTTTCTTTGCACACTTGCAAAACATACAACTGGTGCTTCTGTTGTGGGGCAAGAGGGGGGTTCATATACACCTGGTAGTGAGAGGGGCGGTATTTTCAGAAATAACTCTCATTAATGCCTGCCTTCAAGGGGAGTGGATTTTTAGACTGCAGACACAACTCCTTCTCTGAACATCAGATGTTTTGCAGCAGCCAGCCAAACATCCGATGTCCTTCACACTGACATAAAGACATTCTAACATTCAGTCATTATTAACACCTTAAAGTCCTGGCCAAAGTATCTGGCATATTTGGTTGCCTCCTCCCTCCAGGCACGATGCATATTACTCTTGCAAGAAAAAGCTCATGTTCAAATGAAGTGGATCTTTAAGCATTACAACAATTTTAAGAAATAGTAATAACTCAGCGGACATTAATACTAAAGTAAATCCACTAAAATTTTGCATTTCAAGAGGCACACAACCAGCAAGACTATATTTTGCCCGTTCAGAAATATCAACTCATTTTGGTTCAATACCTTTCTCTCAATTAATTATAAACAGTTTTTATGTTCCACTTAAAAATATGTATATAAAAAATATGGTAATTTTTATAGAAACTTTCTGTATGATGATTAAGCATTTCTGCAATACTGTTGATGTGGCCCAAGAGTGGAAAAACATTCATTCATTTCTTATTATTTCATTGTTTACTTTGGGGTTATTTAAAATCCTTTTAGCTGTGAGGAAGCTTAGAGGAGACATCCTAGATCTGAAAATCCCAGAACAAGTGTTGCCAAAAATTTGGTTGCCAATACACAATGCCAGTGCCTCTTCTAAATGAACAAACAGAAGAATAATGTAAATTATTCTCAAACTAATCTCATTATTAGAACAAAGTAGTCTTCGTCAACCTTAGTAAGAATTTCTGTAGCACTTATTGTATTTTGAAAATCCTCAAGCTGAAGTAGTATTATTTACAATGCAGCTTGTTCCCAACCTCTGTGCAAGATGAAAGATTGCATTCCAGGGTTATAATGAATGTCGATGTTCTTTTAAATCCAAACATCTCTTTAAATACCCAGTTTGTGTGTCTAATTCCTAGAAGCACTTGAATATATAAAAGAAGGAAGGTCAAACTGTGCTATTGCTTATAAAGGAGGTAAAGTGTTCAGTGTAGGTTGATGGATTGAGAAGAGTTTTGTTGTCCCCACTATATCCCTTCACCTCAGGAGGAATCCATACAAGGCATATGCATGAGCTTCATGCTCTTCAGTCTAATCCCTTTGTCACCCCTACAGATAACAAAATTCTTCCACCTTGTAAATATTTGCGGAATTGTGTCTTACCACAAAATTTCAATAACTTCCCTTCAACTACACAAGCACAACTACACTACTACAAAAACAGCTCAAGGCAAGAACTTATAGCAGAATGCCCACCTGCAGAAATGGCAACCAAGCTCTCTAGCCAAAATCGCCGTGCCCTCGGTAGCAGAGCTCTCTTTCTAGTCCTTTTGCTAGAGATTGGGTAAGAGGGAGGGAAGTCTAAGGTGTTTCTCTGACCATTAGCACTTACCACTGCCTGTAGCAGCAAGAGTCCTCCGGCACTCTTTTGATTCTGTTGAACCTTTTCAGTCTTGTTCCATTTACCTGCGATAGAGAAGGAACCTCGGAAGCCAGATTGATACAGGAAGGTGCACTTTTGGAAGTACTAAAACACCCCCATAAAACTCACTGATCCTTCCACGGCTGGGCAAAACCCATGAGGATCCCTTACTAATGATTCTTTCCTTCTTCTCTCCTACCAGCACAGCTTACTCTTGTGTCTACTGCATGCTAGTGAGAAATCTTGTGTGAAATGTGGCAGTTGGACAGCTTTTCACAGAGTGAAAGTTAGATGGACAAAACTCAGCCTGTGTAGAGAATCTAACTGGGTCAGATATGATGACATCCATACAGGATATTACTGCGAATATAGTCTAACCACTTTATCCCTGCCAGCCTCTTATTGATTATTAATACTGTTGTTTGTATTGTAGGACTCATTCACTTGTGGTCCATGCCTATGAGAAACACCAAAATGCAGGGCTGCAGGTGACACGCCTTCACCTTTTTCGGAGTAGCTTTTTCTACAGATCTTGTCTGACTTTTGTTAAAACCAATTAAGTAAAAAGATGGCCTGACATTCTGCACAGAGATGTGGAATAAGTTTACTTTGGTGCCCTATCTATAGCTGATGTATTATTTTATTTTACAGGTCATGGACTGTGCAATGCCTCTGATCGGTGAGCATCAGACTGAAGACAGGCAGCATATAACTGATCTAGTCGTAAGCAAAATGAACCAAATGTTGTCCAAAACTCCTATACCATCTCCTCAGAGACCCACTGCCACTCAGCAGCCTCAGGTAGGGAACTTTTGGGTTTAAAATAGAGCATCTTATTCTATAAATTTAAGCTCAAAATTTTCCTCAAAGAATTTGGCTGGAAAACTCTGCAGACATACCCTGAATGACAAGGATTCTACCAGGAAACCGGTAACTGTGGATTCAGTGAATTAGGAGGGTTTGTATTGTTTCCTTTCAGTTACATCTGTATAAAATATCATGGAAACAAGAAGAAGCACTGTCATAGACAATCTTTGCCCTCAGGATGCCAGAAGGAACACTAAGACACTAGTTCTTGTTGTTCTTATGAGAATTTATTTACCTGATGATTTTTTAATGTGCTGTGGTCCACAAAAATACCTTTCAAATCTAGGAAACTCCTGAAATATGTTTAGCATACTAGAAAACTTGTGTCAAAGGCTGCAGATGGATGCATTTCATAGATTTTATCTTACATGGCCTGATAGTTAAAAGTGTGGGGTTACAGAATTCTGCCCTTGGCCTTGCTTCCAGCTGGCTTTCAGACTTTGGAAATTATCTTTATGTTTCCATTTCCGTGCTTACAAAATGTGAAGTTTATTTTATTGATCTTTTAAATAACTTCTGAGAGTATGGTATTTTTGTAAAACCTCTAAGAACATAAAAGTTTTGCCTCTACATTGGAGAGATATGGATTTGATGGGTGGACTACAAGATGGATAAGGAATTGGCCAGATGACCGCATCCAGAATAGACGGAAACCAGTGGAAACCAGTAAGAAGTGGTGTCCCTCAAGGGGCCATGCTAAGTCCAATACTATTTAGGATCTTCATGACTGACATACAGAGTGGGACTGAGTGCACTCTCAGCGGGTTTGCAGCTGACCCCAAGCTGAGCAGTGCAGTCAATAAGCTGGAGGAAGGTGATGCCATCCAGAGGGACCTGGGTGGCAGGGTCCTGCATTTGGGTCACGGCAGTCCCCCAGTATCAGTACAGACTGGGTAATTAATGGATTGAGAGAGCCCTGTAGAGAGGACCTGGGGATACTGGTGGGTGAAAAATTGGATATGAGGCAGCAATGTGCACTTGCAGCCCAGAAAGCCAACCGGATCCTAGGCTGCATGAAAAGAAGCGTGACCAGCAGGTATGAGAGAGGCAATTCTCCCCTTCTACTCAGCTCTTGGGAGACCTTACCTGGAGTACTGCGCCCAGTTCTGGGGTCCCCAGTACAAGACAGACATCAACCTATCAGAGCAGGTCCAGAGGAGGAACCACAAAAATAATCAAAGGGTTGGAGTACCTCAGCTATGGAGAAAGACTGAGAGTTGGGGTTGTTCAGCCTGGAGAAGAGAAGGCTCCGGGGAGACCTTAGTGTGGCCTTTGAATACTTGAAAGGGGCTTATGAGAAAGATGGAGAAAGACTTTTTACCAAGTCCTATAGTGACAGGACAAGGGGTTATGGTTTTTAATTGAAAGAGGGTAGGTTTAGATTGGATGTAAGGAAGAAATTCTTTATGATGAGGGTGGTAAGACACTAGAACAGCCCGGAGAAGCTGTGGATGCCCCATCCCTGGAGGGGTTCAAGGCCAGGCTGGATGAGGCTTTGGGCAACCTGGGCTAGTGGGAGGTGTCCCTGCCCGTGGCAGGGGGATGTCAGACTAGACGATCTTTAAAAGGTCTGTTCTAACCCAAACCATTGTACAATTCTGTGATTCTTTGAAAAGTGCTACATAAATGCTAAATGGCATCTTTTATGTCTTCATAGCTAGGCAGCAGGTCTGATCAGGAGCAACATTATCAGCTACAACTTCTTTGTACTTCTTTTAATATACTGAAGGAATAAACCATGACAATACATTCCAACCTAAACTACGAAGGACTGTATTGCTGCCCTGTACGAGCACAGCTCCACGGTAATCAGTTAAGCAACAGAATAAGCCAAACTGTAGTACAGGAATTACCAAGCCTAAATCAAGAATCTATTTTTACTCTCAGTAGGCTCCACACCAGGTAAACAATTTGAAAACAATTTTGTGGCATACCTCAGACAGACTAGTTCTTGAGGCAGAATGACTAATTTGTTCTTCAAATATATCATCATGCTTTAAGTTATAAAAATACACCATCCCACATAAAAAAGTGGTGTGGCTTCTATTTATATTACAGCCACTTGAAACTAAGCACAAAATTGTTTCAACCACGGAACCACATACAATGGAGAAGTTTCCATCCAACATAAGTCCGTTGTAAAGTGCACTGAAAAAGAAAGACAAGGAGGAGAAAAAAAATAAATCACCTTATCCCAAAATACACTTTCTTTTAGGACCAGTAAATATATTGAAATGAAGGAAAGAGTCAAATTTAGAGTTGCCCAGAGCATCCAAGTTAACATAAATAAAAATTGAAAACAGTAATAGACATTACTGTATCATTAATAAATTCACAGTCATTTAGAGCATTTGATATTTCATATTTTTTGGGGAAAAAAATGTAAGGTCTTGGGTAGGCATGCTGCCTTGGATTTTAAAGAACACAAGAGAGAAGAAGTGTTTATGGTTACTGGTGTCATTCAAAGACACTGATTATCTGTTGTATGTAAATAAAGTTTTTACTCATTTCCAATGAAAACTGCCTGCGTAAGTCCAGAATGAAAATAGGACACAGGGAACATTTTAAGAAAATTCCTAAATTCCTCAGTCATTGCTGTCATTCATCATCTCCGTGAAAAGGCTTTTTTTCCTCTTAAACAAAAAAAAAAAAAAAAGCTTTTGATGAATCCAAAGATAATATTTGCTGGCTAGCTGCTGAACTTCTATTCAATTTCTGCTTAGTTTTGGTTACTGAAGAATTCAGCCTTTGTTAATGGCAACAGGATGTTATTCAACATTACTCTTCTTTTCCTTATCCTATCCTTAAATTATGGATTGCAGTTGACCAAAATCAGACATATCTCTTCAGAATATTTGCACTATTTGTTAGTTTTCCTCTCAGTTAATCAGACTCTGCTTCCTTACAATTTGCCTTGTCATATTGTCCACCAGTTTAGGACAGACAAAGGGGATCCGAATTTCCACAGAAGATACTGTTTGCAAATACCCATTAATCTTCCCAGCTTTAAGGGAGAATGATGAAACAGATCTATCATATTTAAAACAGATATCTCCGCATGTGTTGTGAATTTTTAGCTAGGTTGTCTTCCTGAGAATAAAATCAGTCTGTTAAAACAAGATGTCCCTTTCATCTTTGAACAGTCTTCTCCTTTTCTAATCTGAGAAATTATTTCCTAATCTTGAGAAATACATTTCTGGGGTAGGGGGATACTGCATATTTCTGCAGAGCAGATAAAATGCAAAGCTAGTAATGTATCCCAAATCAAGTATGTGCTTATGTACATGTGATCTTAGAAATATAAACAACAAAGAGTAATTGCTGTGTTTTGCTACTTCTGTGTTTAAATGAACAGTTTGCAGTCAATAGCACAGCTATAGATGTGCCACGTTTTGAATTCCCTTATTATGTGCATAAGTTTTTAAAAATTATTTACAATCTACCCACTACCGTGGGTACATCTTACATAAAATAACGCTTCAATTTATAAATACCTACAATGGTCAGTCCTATTCCAATTAACTACCCATCAGAAAATGAATCAATGATTAGGAAAATAAGTCTTTGTTTAGTGCTACAAAGCCAAATCTTGATGGAAATGATTGGCCTTGCAATATGTTCTGAAGGCCAAGAAGGTGCTCTCTGTCAGAGTGCCAGCAGGAGCAAATTCCACAGGCAGGGACCTCAAACGCCTGTCTTGCTGATGTTCAAACCTCAGAGGTGCAGATCCTGTGATTCTTAAACCCATTCAATCTATAATCTGAGATATCAGACATACTGAGATTTTTAAAATATATATTTAGTATATTCCCTATTTATTCATTAATCTATAAACATTGGCACAGGCTCTGTAGCAGGTCTGCTGGTACACAGAATGGCAGAGAATCTTGGAACAAGGAGAGCTCCAGTTTGCAGTTCTGTGTTGTACCTCATACCACCTGACTCTGGCTGCTGCCAACGAACCCTGTCTTGTGCTTTTCTCTTGTGGTTCCAGGCTACCCTTTGCTGCACCCTTTGACAGCATGATTGAACTGTGTAAGGATAGGAAGTATTCTTGATTGCAGGATTTCAAGCTTGCCAGTTTTGCTCTTATCAGCTACTTTACGAGTCTCCCCACTCCAAAGATAAGCAAGAGTCCCTGGGCTCAGAGAAGTTCTGTCTGATATAACTACATATGGTCAAAACAC